CTTTGGGAAGCCCCTCCTGAGATTCTTGGTGTCTGCAGCTGAGTGACTGTCTTAAAAGACCTTCAGGAAGGGGACAACAGGTTCCATAAAACCAGAAATTATTCATTCTGCTGCTGACAATATTAGAAATAAAGTAATATGGCAATAATTGAGTGACTGTGAGGGGTACAAAGTCAGAGCATGAACCAGGAATGAGCTGAGCCTTTGAGAAATGCCTCCCCAGGCTGTTTGTTCCCTGCCAGGGGCTGGCAGCAGGCCAGGCCTTTGCTTTGGAGAATAATCCGCTGGCTTTAGGGCTTCCCAGCACTCCTTGGGAGTGAAAAACAAGTGTGACTGCTCAGGGCCTCGTGGGTGTGTGGGCATGGGTGGGTGACCAGGACAGGCTCAGGACTTCATTCCCTGCCTGTTCCAGCCCAGCTGGGGGGCTGGGAGGGAGTGGTGGCACAGCTGTCCCCTTCCTCCTCGCTGGGTGCTGGGCACCCCCTGGCCCATCAGCATCCCTGGTAACGCCTCCTTCTTCCCACTTCATCACCCATTGCTGGGCAGGAATCCCCCTCCCTTCCACACAGGACTTGGATCTGGGGATGTCCTGCTCAGTGCCACCCCAGGGGTGACAAGAAAACACGTGTGTGCCCAGGAGATCAGTGTGCTCCTGCCACCAGCTCTGCCTCGGTCCCCAGCAGGGAGCAGCAGAAAAATCTGAATTGCTCTGCTGAGAAATTAATCTTCTTTCCCTGTCTTAACTCAGCCTGACCTAGATGAGCCACTGCCCCCCCCTCGGGTGGTTTTTTTTGTTCCTCTGTGGGGTGTTTAAAGGGAAAATTACGGCAAATGTATTGCAAAGAAGCTGTGGGAGACAGGGGCCAGACCTCCAGCAGGACAAAGTGGTTTTAGACAGGATTTTCCAGGCTGCCCTCTCCTGAGACCCTCTGATCTGGGGTGGTGGGCAGGGAAAATTTAATCTACCCAAGCATGGGCAGTAGAACAGAAATAGTAAAAGGTCAAGAGCTGTGTTGGGTTCCTGCTGGCAGGGTGCAAAGTCAGGGGGACTTTTAGCTGGAGAGAAGTAAAAGTGGAGCTGCTGGAGACAGAAATGGCAATGGGAACAAAGCAGCTGCAGTGCTTGTGCCCTCCCTTGGTGGTTGTGGTCCTGGGGTGGTGACAGGGACTGGGGCTGGCTGGAAGGACAGCACTGACCACCAGGACAGCAAAGGAGGTGAAATATGCCTCTCCCAGAACCTGCTCCTGCCTCACACCAAACCTTCCACTGCCCTGTGCTGCATCCCTTTCCCTCTGTCCCTTCATGCCCAGGGATGAAGCCTGGATGGCTCAAATGCCATCCTTGGCTTTGTGGGCGAGGGAAGCCAGACACCCCAACACCAAAATGATCCTGACAAAATGCTGAAGCTCACATCCTGGGGGTTACATCCAAGGAAAGGCTTTATCTACCTTTAAAACTCATCAGCTGCCCTGTGAAGGACTCTGCTCCTGGGCTGAAGGGCCAGGGTTAGGGTTAACCCTGCTCCCTCCCTGCCTCAGCTTCCCTTTTGTAAAGTTGGGGGAGATAGAAATGAAAAAAAACTCAGTCTCCTCTTATGCCTGAGGACTTCCTTGTGGTTGTGTTGTGGGGTTGGTTCCTGTTCCACAAGTCTTGGAGGAGAGCAGGGAGGCCAGGCAGTTGTTCTGGTGCTCATCCATGTGTCTCTGTATGTCTGTCTGCCTGTCCCTCCTTGTCAGAGTGCAGCACCTGTGGCTGTCCCACCCCTTCGGAAAAGGGGTCTTGAGTCCAGAACCACCCCCAGCCAGGGTCTGTGCACTGGGAGAGGAGCAATGCTGGGAGCCAAAGGGTTCTGAGGCAGTTTTTGGGCAGCAGCCCTCGTTTTGGAGGCTCAGCCCTGTGTGTCAGGGCAGGAGGTGCAGGCAGTGTGAGCAGCAGGGATTATGGCTGCTATAAAAAGCACCAGCATCTCTCCTCTCTGCTCCCTAAGGCGCTTAGGCAGGAAGGAGGGAATTAAAGAGTAACCTCTGGCACTGAAGAGTGCAGGGATGGGAGCAGTCAGAATAGCCTGACACACTCATGAGACCCCCTTCCTCCTCAGCATCCCCAAAAATCCTCCCTGGGGCAAAGAAGCCCCTTCATGCTCTTTCTGGGTCCCTGCTGTTGGGTCACCAGAAACTTGTCTCCTGCTCAGTGGTTGTGGGGGGCAAGGAGAAGGCTGAGGAGGACAGCTGAGCCTGGAGAGGGGGTCCTGGTGGGAGAGAAGAGCACATGAGGATGCTGTACCATTTGCACGCCCCAAACAAAAATGTGGAGCACTCCCCCATCCTCACAGCCTCACTCGTCTGCCTGGTCCTGTCCTGCTACTCTGAGGGTACTGGTGATGTCCTCCAAAATGCAGTCAGCTGCATGGGTGCATGGCTGGACAGAAGAACACAGAGGCCTTGGAGGGACAGGGGTTGTTGCAGCCAAAAGCCACACTCTGCCCCACTTCCAGTGCTGGAGGCAAAATGACTCCGGGGTCTTGGGACTCTCTGCCAGGCTCACAGTCAGTCTCAGAGCTCAGCACTAGTGTGGGCTCTGGCGACATGTCTGGGGACAAAGCAGGGGGAAGGCAGGTGCCAGATGATGGCAATGGTGCAGGGATGGGGGGATGTGAAGGAAGGTGGTGTGGGGAACAGCTGTCCTCTGTGGTTCCAAAAGCAGCCACGGGGTCCTGCCGAGCGGGACCTGGCACTGCCCGGCTGCGGGAGGTGGTCGGTGTTTCCCCTCAGCGCGGACACTGCCGGAACATCCCCAGAGCTCGGTCAGTGCTGGGGATGGAACAGCACAGGATCCGCCCTGGCAGCTGAGGGGTTTCACAGGGCTCGGTCAGTGCTGGGGATGGAACAGCAGCAGGATCCGTCCCGGCAGCTGAGGGGTTTCACAGGGCCCTGCCGAGCGGCGGAGCGGCCCCGCCGGCCACAGGAGGGAGCCGGCCTCCTTCCCTCCGCTCCGCCCGGAGCACGGCGGCCTCGGGGATCGGCCCTGCTTGGTGCAGGAGCATCGCCTGGGTCAGACCGGGTCATTGGGACCCCAAACCTCCCAGGAAGGCAGCGAGAGCCCGGCTGGAGCGGAGGGGGCCGCCCCCATGCTCAGGAAGGCTGCACCTCATTCCCAGCAGCGGATGGGTGATGGGGCTGCGGTGCGGATGAGCCGCTGGGCTTTTGCTGCAGCCATGGGGGGACCAGTTGTGCCCAGGGAGTGGCATGTCCCCATGGCAGGGACCAGCCCGAGACCACACTGAGACCAGTGTGTCGTTGTCTCTCGTGGGCGGTGGTCAGAGGTACCAGGGTGACCCCGATGCCCAGCCTGCTGATGCTGAGAGAGCAGGGGAGCGAGCAAACCAGCCCCTCCCTGTACAACCTGCTGCCCCAGGAATCTGGACCTTCCCAGTTCCCCAGCCCACTGCCAGCTCTGGTGCTGCAACCTTATTCCCAGGGGCTGACAGTCACTGGTGGGATCATGCCCCAGCATCCCCCTCCTGCTGTCCAGCTCTCCATCCCTGTCCCGCTCCCCCCACAGCCCCAGCAGCACAGGGGAAGCCTGGCAGGTGCCAGAGCAGCCACGCTACACACCCAGGATTGAAAAAAAAAACAGAGAAAAATGACGGTGGCATAACACTGTCTGATTGGAAATAGTTAATTACGGGGGGAGGTCTGGGGTACTGTCCTCCGCCTTTGCTTGCTGAAAAGCCGACAAAGCCCCAGCGTGGGACTGCTGGTAATGGCTCTCATTAAAGCAGTTGGAGCAGGAGTTTGAAACCACATCCATTTTCCTTAACTGCTCTCAGAAGGGGAAAATGCTGTTCTGGCCCCTGCTATTTGTGGTGTGCTGGGTACTGCAGGCTGGGAAAAGGCAGGATTTGCCTCCCTGAATGCAGAGGCAGAATTCTGGACCACGGCCTTTTCTCGGGACTGGCTCTGTGGCACATCACCGTAACCTTTTTTAAGTCCAGGGAAGATGTGGGGAGTAAAGGAATCTTCATAAGGGAGAGACACAAGGAATGAGCTTGGTCCCAGTGCCTCCACTCTGCTACACAGAGAAATTATGGATCCTGGTTTAAAATCCTTATTGGGATAAGAGCTGATCTTAAAACAGCAATGAAGCCATGAGGATGCTCCTTTCCCCACATGATTAGGGAATTTCCCCTGAGCCCCTTAAACAGAGAGGAGCAGGGATCTGCCTGGAGTTACAAATGGGAAAGGATGTCTTTGGGCACAGAGAAGGGCAGTTTTGGTTGGTGGTGCTCTGGCTGGGAAGAGGAAGACATCCAGGGAGAAGAGGGAGGTGTCCCTGCTCCATCAATGCACGAGGGGCTGACCCCAGTACAGAGGCAGCACCCCTTGGGGTGGCAGGAAGTTTGGGGGTGATGTAGGAGGTGATCATGCTGGGATGAATCTGAAGGATGCAGACATACAAGGGCTATTTTCCCTCATGAAGAGTTTGGATTTCATACAGATGAGTCCCTGTCCTCCTCTCCAGCAACATTCCTCAGAAAAAGGGGTTGTACCTGGTCCCAACAGGGCTGCTCCCTGTCAGGGGGTGCTGGGCTCAAGCAGAGATGTGGTGGAGGGAATGTGATGGCCCTGGCTTGGCTACAGGCCTGGAGAATAAGGCTCCCTGGGAAGTTTGAGCTGTCACCCTGCTGTCCCAGAACCACAGGACACACCTGCTGAAAAGGGCTGTGAGCTGGAGCTGCAAAACTAAAAACAGGAGTGACGGCCCAGGCAGATCACCAGTGTACTGGGGGATTTGGCCACTACTGACCTTTCTGTGCCTTCCTGCAGCTCCCAGCTCCCTGCTGTGTCCTGGGCCTGTCCCCAGAAATGCAGACAACCACATTTCTCTGCAGCCTCCTTGTCCCCTTTGCCCTTTTCCCCACCCATTCCCACGCCACTGGACAGCCACACGCCAAAGAACCGCCCGGCCTCTCTCCAGCTCATTTCTCTTGCAAGCTTTGTCTGGTGGGTGCATTTTGCATTTGCTTTTTCTTTTTTGCTATTCACAGGGAACAAAGAGGGGGTCACAAACCCAAGGGCAGACGTCAGGACAGGGCTGACAAGCCTGGGAGAAGGGGTGATGCCACCCACCCCCGCAAGGTCCTTAGAGGCTGGTAAAACCAGGGGGAGAAGGGCTTTGCTCCACGGTGCCGGCTTTGCCCATCCCTTCCTCTCCCTGCCCGGTCCTGCTGCACTGTTTCACTGCTCCATCCTTCTGCTCCATCCTTCTGCTCCATCCCACTGCTCCATCCCGCCTGGCCCGGGTGTGGCACGGGTCACGTCTGCTGTGGCAGGTGGCAAGTCTCGCTGATGGCAATGACCACGTCCTGGGGCTGGCGCTCGCGGTGCCGCGGCGCCTCGGGCATCTCGCTCATCTCGTTGACGCTGTTGCTGATGCAGTTGATGTCGCTCTTGTTGCTGTTGTCATCTGGGTTGGGGCCAAAGATCCAGTCTGGAGGAAGGAAAAGCACAAAACAAAACCCTGGTTACCTCCAGCTCTTTGCCCAGAGCTCAAGGTGTTGAAATTGCTTGAGAATTGCTGCCTCCTGCTACACCCTACCTCTAGCTCTGGGTGCTTCTCCCTCCAGGAGTGTCCCTTGCCCACCCCTGCCCCTTCAGCTCCCTCCTATCCCCTGGTGCTGGGATCTCTGCTCTTCCCAGCTCTGGGCTGGTTTTCAGGCTGCTGGTTTCTGGAAGCCCTCCCAGCTTAGGCAGATGAAATCATCCCGTTAATCCCAAAAATGAGAGTGAAGTGCCTCCAAAGTGAAGTGTGCATCTGGGGTCTCTAGCAATGCATTTCCTAAAGTGGGATTTTGCTGTCAGACAGAGTAAATGATTGAATAACTATGTGTCATCCAAATGGGGCAGGAGATGTGGCTGGGATGTGCTCGTCTGCCTTGAGAGTGTATTACAGCCATGCCAGGGCCTCAAACCCTCCATGGCAGTTTTGGGCTGTGCTTCTTGCTGCTCACCAGAGCACAGGACCTGGCTCTGAGCTGATCCAGCCACTGCCACAACCCTGGGGGCGACTGATCCCCCTCCAAAATACAATGTCACTGCTGGATGACAGCATGACTGAAACATCCCCTGCAGCACGAGGGATTGCAGCTGAGTGAAAGCAGGCAGTGCTGCTTCCCAAACAGCTATCTTTAAAAAAATTTGGCTGTCTGGGCAGTGAGAGGCCACAGCCCACTGAGATAGGAAGGCACCAGCAGTGAGGATACCTAAGCTGGGGAAACCCAGGTGAGGGGAGAGTAGCCTAAGAAATTGTGGCTGTGGGCAGTGGAGCACCAGCACCCCTCTGCTTTAGTTCTGCTACCAAAAGAAAGCAGAGGTGGCTACCAGGAGGCAGAGAAAAGGACCAGCCTGGTTTTGTTACTCCTGAGGAGCTCTGCTTATTTGCCACTGGATCTCACAGAATCCAATTTATCTCCTTTGTGCAGTGAGGTATTTTCTGTCCCCACAGGACATTCCAATTGTGGCTCTTCAGTAGAGGACACAGGTTTCCTGATGGAGCAGGGACACAGAAATGCCATCCCAGTGATGTCATTCTCATGTGGAAAAATGTTTTGCAGCCAAACTAGGACTGAATAATGGCAAATGCCAGGTTGGGATGCCAGGTGTGAAGTAAATGGAAGATGTCATTTCTCGGCTCACCTGTGGTGGCCAGACATTTCTCCAGGTGTGAGCAGAGACACAGGAATGACCTGCGGGCCTCTTTGTGCTCAGTGTGTGCACTATAAGTCAAATTTGGGGTGTTTTTTGAGAGACCCAAAGTTCTCAGCTTCTCTCTTTTTTTTTCTTTCTTTTTTTTTTCCTTTTTTTTTTCTTTTAGGAAAAGCCAAAAGTTTTGTTGTTTTTGCAATGCAATATTTGAATTTTTTCTCCAGCCTAAAGCCATTTGGCCACAGCATCCCCAAGAGAGCAGAACAGGACTTTCAGGATGATGCACCAGGGTAGGTGACCACTCTGCCAGGGGAACTGGACAGGGAGTGGAGGGGGTTGTGCCCCACTGCCAGCATGGGCTGGCTGGAGGAGGGGACTATCTCCAAGGAGGGTAGAGCTCCCACCACGCTGGGCACAGGCAACATTCCAGAGAGGGACTGGTTGTCCTTGGTTTTCCTATTTTCTTCACCATCATCACTGTGCTAGCAGGGTTTGCTGGTTGTCCAACAGGAAAGGCAGGAGAAGAATCAGCACCGCTCCCTCAGCCACCCCAGTGCTGGTAAGAGGGATTGGGAAACTCAGCAAAGAAGTGTTCCAAAGGTTTTGAGGGAGCCCTGCATCTGCCCTGAGGACATTTAGCTTGCACATTCATAACCCACCTGAGGCTGGACTCCCCATCACAACCCTTCCCCAAGGAAAATCAGCCAAGCCCAGAAGGCTCATTTAGGGCTTTTTTCCTTTACAGCTTTGATTTTGCTTGGCTTTACTGGGTTTAGACTAAAGGCCAAACACTCCACCACCTTCTCTGTGGTCTGGCCCTGCCTGGTCCATCCCAGGCAGAGCCTCTTGTCCCCAAGACCTTGCAGCTCCTGCAGCCCCCACACAGCTGCTGACCATGAGGAGAAGCTGAAGGCAGTAACAAGATTGCCTCCTACAAATACTATTAAAGTTCTCAGCTTGCTTTCCTTGACGTCAGCCATAAAACTCCAGTGGAGTAGCAGGGAAGAAGGGGAATAATCTGTAGAAAAAGGGGTGATGGGTCCTCAAATATCCTGGGAGCCACTGGATAAGGATTGCTGTGCGGAACAAGAAGCAGAGAGCATTGCATGCCTGTGAGTAGGGGTAAGTGGCATCTGGTGGCCAGATGATGAACTCCTGGTGACATTTGTGGGCACAAGAAGAAGCAAGAGCTGGATGAGGCACTGTGGTAAAGGCAGAGAAATGCAGGGGATGGGTGTTTTGGGGGAGCACCAAGGGCGCCAGCAAAAGCCATTTGCACGGGAAAAGTGTCATGGTGCATCATCACCAAAGGGGATGTGGCTGGCCAGGGTGCCTGGGGAGGGTGGCTCGTGTGAGGCTGCTGCAGTCCAGCTCCTGGGGAAGAGCAGGCTGGATTGTACGTGCTAATCCGAACCACTGCTTCCCTGGGAATTATTTCTGGAGCCTGCTGGATCTAATTACCCAGTAATCTGCAGGAAGATGTAATTAGGCTGTCATTAGAGGGTATTTACTGCAATGCCTTTATGATTTGACTGTGTAAGTAAGGAGTGAAGTAATTACACAATTACATGTCATTTGTGGCCATTTATGGCCTGTAACTTCAGCGTGTTGCCATGTGTGGAAGAGGGGAGCAAGGCCCCGTGGAGCTGGCAGAGGATCTCCTGCCAGCAGGACCCTGGAGAAACAACCATAAAAATGTCAGCGCCCTCATGCCCCCTGCCAGGCACTGCCAGCTCCATCCCAGCCAGGCTCCATCCTCCCCAGCTTCTCCCTCTGGCTCCTCTGAGTTTGAGGGTGAGGAACCAAGGTCTCCCAGGGTCACCCATGGCATGTCTGGGGAGGGATGAGGGAGGAGAGAGAGGAGACCTGCACATCTTTGGCATCTCTGGGATTAAACCTTGCTCTGATGTGGAAGGAACTTTGCTGGGGATGGGAGACACAGCCTCACATCATGTACCAACACAGGCTGGAAACCTTGGATGTGGATAATGACCCCTGCACAGGGGTGTAATCGGGTAAGGGGGGTGGCCAAGGGCTGGGAGCCAAGGGGTGGTGGTGGCCGGCCAAAGGGAGCTGCAGCCCTCAGCACCATGTCAGGTATTTCTCTCTCCATCCCTTACAGCTGGCAGGGGGGATGCATGAGCCACAAAAAATAGACACAGCAAGGAAAACAAAATCCTCTTTTGGATCTAAGTCCATATATGGGTTCACACAATCTCCAGCCAGAAGGTGAGCAAAGTTAGGCCGATGACACCCAATGGATCTGGACAGCTACAGGCAGAGCTGGGATGAGGAGGGATCACACAGCATGCTCCCAGGGCAGTGGCACATCCACATCCAGGACAGTCACACTTTGGAGATAAGAAAAAGCATTGCCTGGCCCTACCCAGCCACTGGAAGGAGCTCGTAACACGTGCTGCAAAATCCAGGGCATGCGCACACGGGTGTGTAGGTGAATGTCTTGGATAAAAGAGAAGAACAAAGTGACTTTCTCAGCCAGGCTGGGGAGCAGCATCTAACCCAGAGACACCTCTTCCTGCTGGTCAGGTGCTGCTGAGGCTCAGTGTGCCTGCTGGGGTCTGCAGGGCCAGTGGAGAGGTGGGAAGTGCAGAGGTGGGTGAGATCGATATGGAGCGATTGATCCAAAGCAGCTGGAGAGAGGAGATAGAGCAGGCTGGGCAAATCAGGAGCTGTGGAATAGCAGCTCAAGCTCCCCAAGTAGCAGACTGATGTGGCACAAAATGCCCCTGCACCTCCCTGGCTCTGTCCTAGTCTTTGACAGCACCCCTGGAAGCAGGACCCCTGGGATATGCTATATTTTTGGGGACAGAAAAACACTGGGGTTGCCCAGATGTCACAGTGTGCCCTTCTCGTACGAGCAGCATGAGGGATGGTCCTTGCTCAGAAACCCCTGACAGGGCAGGCAGCAGGGAGCAGCCTCCTGATGTCTGGGTGCAGAGGGCCACAGGGTTGCTGTGTGCCCAGTGTCACCCCAAGGGGGTGGCCCAGTCCCCTGCATTTATTGGTGGCAGGTGGGATGCCTATGAGGCACTTCAGCTGCTGAAAAAGAGACTTCACAAGCAGAAGAGCAGAAGGGGGTGGGAGAAAGGGCTGAAATTTAAATGTAGCCTGGTGAGTGAGACATTCACAGTCCCGGTAGAGATGGAAACAGGAAAGGAAGGGGCAACATGTTCGATGAACAATCAAACTCGTGCTCTAGTTTTGCTTTAAATGGAGCTGGGTGTGAAAGCAGCTGCTAAAAAAGCTCTTTTCCCATCAGCAGGAGCAAAAGCACCTCTTTCTTTGAAACAAGTCCTGACCCAGCAATCACATTGTGCTCTGCAGCCAGGCAGGGCCAGCTCTGGCCGGAGCATTCCTGATGGACACGAGTTCAAGGGTGTCCCTTGTGTCTTTGAAATGATGCAGCAGTCACAGCTGGATGTCATAGCTGTCTCATTTGCAGGACGCACTCTACTTATTCATTAGCAAAATCAACAGATAACTCCCAGGTTTGTCCTGATGGAAAATCTGTGTCTGCCCTGGCAACAGTAATTTATTAGAAATCCCCCTCTTCCCTTCAAATTCACTTCTTTCTAAACGAATTTGGTGTTGGGGTTTGTTCTTCCTTCCCTGTTTTGCAGAATTTTCTCAGCTTTGCTATGCTGACTGAGTCAAATTTGTCCTGCACCCCAAACAGCATGAGCACTCTGCTTTGCTGATGGACAGGTAAGGACACTGTTCCTCTGCAGAGCTGTCACCAGCATGAAGCATCTGGTGGGAAAAAGGGTGACATGGAAAAGGCACTCAATTAATTACGATATTCTCTTAAAAGCACCTTCTCTGCATGCACCACAGCAACCTGGACCAAGCCTTCGTTTGATCCCAGTCCCATCCATCAGGCAGCATTACATCTCCAGAGAATGGGTCTCTGAGAGGTGGGGACTCAGGTGGGATAGGTGGGAGGCAGGAATGGTCCTGGGGGTGGATATTTGCCATCCATATCTTCCAGAGGCAGAGTGAAGGTGAGCAGAGAGTGAGGAGCCCTGCTTGGTCTCAGCTCAAGGGACACCAGTGCTTGCAGGGCAGCAGACAAACACAGCCCTTGCCCCCAGGGCCTGACACAGCCCATCCCCGGACCACATGATGGCAGGAGTGGGAAGGCTGCTGTGGGATGGTGCATCCCTGAGGCCTTGATCAACGCCTGGCAGTGTGTGCTGGACATTCCTCTCCTCCAGCTCTGAACTCCAAAGGTTTGGCCTCAAATGCAGCTGTCCTGAGTGGCCCTTTTTGCAGGGCCAGACCACTGTGGCTCCCTGTCAGGCCAACAGCCCCAGCCTGTGAGGGGGAGTGGTGAATTATCCTTCAGCAGCCATTGCTTCCCTAAACAACACCTCAGGAACTCCTGATGCACCCCCATGCACCAGAAGGGAAACAGGCAGGGGATCACTGTGAGAGGTGGGTTGGGACCAAGATAGAAAAGCAGAAGGGAATCTGACGTGGTTTCTTCCCACAACTTTGGGAGGCAAAGGAATTATCCTCAAAACAGAGCTTGAAAAGAAGAGGTATAAGTCCTGTCTGATGGACCTGAGATGCTGCCTGCAATCCCTGCCGTGGGCTGAATTATCCTCAGAGCTCTGTGCTTCTGTGTGGAGCAATTAAAAGTGGATCCCGTGTCCCTGCAGGATCACCCAGCAGCTATTTTCAGCAATGCTACATTCATGCACAGTTTATTTGTTCAAGGAGATAGTTTCCTAAAGAAGCCTGAAATGTGGAGGTTGGAGATAAGGCTGAAAAACAAAATTATGGCTGATGGGTCAAAAGGGCAAAGAAAAGAAAGACCCTGCTCCAAGGATGGCGTAAGGTTTTGAGCAGTCCCAAAGCCATCGACCAGCACGGTCCTGCCAGTGCCAATGAACCTGCCCTGCCTTGCCCCAGCTGGGCATCTGCCTTGGGCCCATTCCCGAGGGAAAAGTTTCCCTCAAGGTCTCCTCTGGAGATCAGCAGCCAGGAGGAGACCTTGGCTGAAGCGGGCACCAGCAGCCAAGGTGTCCCTGCAAGGCCTTACTCCCACACAGACCATCAGACCCTTCCCGGCTGCTCCCTGGGCAGGAGCGAGATGCTTTCCCCTTTCCCGGCGAGCACACGCGTGCAATCTCCATGGCAACAGCTTTGTTTCCAGTCAAACTTTTTATTTTTATTTTTCCCCCCTTTTCCTCTCTCTCTATTTTTTTTTTTTTAATGTTAAATATGAGCGATATTCAGCGAGCTGCCGGGGACGGAGGAGGGAGGGAGGGCTGATCCCCAGGATTGCAGTAATTAGGTGCCTGGTACGTCGGTGACAGGCTTGTCATTTGCCAAGCCAGCTCCTCTCCGCAGCGCCGGCTCTGGCAGCTCTCCAGCGCTTCAGAGTTAAGCAGCTTTCCAAGCTTTCCAAACGCTTCGACCCAATTTGCCTTAACTGGTGGTGGGCTCTGAGCTGTGCTCACGCAGGAGCCTCCCTCCCACCCTCCTCTGAGAGCTCGTGTCCAACCCCAAGCAGAGACATCTGATGAGTTTTGGGAAAGCCAAACGTGAGACTTGGTCAGCTCAGAGCAAGCAGGAGGGACTGGAGAGAAATTAAGGTTTTTGGGGCTCTCCTTGGCCAGGTCTCTCCAGGAAGAGCTGAAGAGGAGCTCTTTCAGAGCCCTCTTATCCATATCTAGATGCTCTGCCTTCCTACTCTCCAACAATGCATCTTTCCTCCTTCTCCAATGCAGCCTCCCATTTTCCACTCCTCCCCAGCCTGCTGGGCATCACAGCAGTGTTCATGTCCCCTGGGGATGCCTGGGCAAGCTCTGATTTTTTAAGAAGCATCTGCAAGAGAGGTGTCAGTGTCTCAAATACCCATTCAGATTTCCCAGGGAGAAAACCTTGGCAGCATCCCGAGAACCCCTTCACCATCCAAAACTGAGCCCAGCACCTGCTTCTCATTGTTCTGTGGGTGCAGGAGGCTGCCTGATGCTTTGACTCCCCAAGCTGTGTCTGACAAGCTGTTATTGAGGAGTCATAATCATCCCTGATGCCTCCAAGTGACTGTTTAAAGCAGCGATTAACTATTCCCACTTTAATCTCCCTGAAACAGGCTCCAGCCCTTTGGCATCTTATTTCCATCTCTCCCTGTCTATTTCTGAACATGATTAGTGCAGAAATGCTGATAGCAGAGGCTAGAGCTGCTGCTGAGTATATAAACCCAGGCATTGTGTTAAGGCAGCTAATGGAGCAGATTCTTATTTACTGTGCCTTGGTCTCTCTGTCCAGTCCCTAAAGTAATTTCATGCAAACTCATTCAAATTAAACCTTTTCTCTTTAAAGGCTGTTCCTTGGCAGTGTTAACAAACATGGTTTTGTCTGCTCTCCTCTGAGGACTGGCTCATTTGAAGTGTATGAACTGTGGGAAGATGGGCCTGGAGTGCTAACTAGGATGAGCTGGAGGCAGCCTTCGGCACTGAGGGGTGCTGCTGGAGTTTGGCAAATGCCTTCTCCTCTCTGCCTGGAGGGGGAAGCAGCTCACATCTGGATTTCTGACCCTAACTTGGAGAGATATTACCTCCACCCAGGGCAGGGAGGATGCTTTGCCCTCAGCAAAGAGTGTTAAACTGGGAAAAGGCTTCTTCCCATGTGGCAGCAAGCGGGCAGACCCAGTGCTGTGCCTGTGCTTGTCCAGCCCGTGGGATGGCCGTGGTCCTGCGAAAGGCTGTGGAAGTCCCTTTGCAAAGGGCTTTGCAAGAGAAGGGGCACCCTGCTGGCCTCATCCCACGCAGAGGCTCAGGTTAAAGGTCACCAGGGAACATTGGTGCCGAGTTGGAAGCAGCACATCTGGGGCCCAGGTACCCCATGACTGCAGCTGCAGCCCTCCTCCGTGCCTGGAAGGACGTGGCATTCCTGTGGATCTTGCCCTGCTTTGCAGTACCCACTCAAAGGGTGGTTTGAGCACCCACATCTGTGCTCTCCTGCATCAGGGGACACAGCAATAGGGACAGGGGTGTCTGTTCTGTGGGGGCACTGCGACTGCACTGGCCCCTGCCTTGGGGGAGTTTCTAACCTGGCCTGACCTGGTCCTTGGAGCTTCTTGAGGCAGGAGTGGGTATATTTTTAGGTGCTATCCCCACTGCCTACCTTTGTGAGGAAGGCAGCACTAAATCAGGGAGCATAGCCCCAGCAAGCTCCTGATTAAGTGTTAAATTTAACACTTTAAGACATATATCTGTTTTCTTCCATCTGTAGCGAAGAAAAACTCCCCAGCAGCAGCTCCCTGCTGTTTTCTAGCCTCAGCCTCATGTGAGACTCCAAGTACTGCTCCCTGCCAGGAGGTTTGACCTTTCTTGTCCCAAATAACCCTCCATCTAAATCCCTGTGTCCTGGATCTGCTGGCCTTTGCTCAGTCATGACCCTCTGCCCAAAGGTCTTGGCTTGCCCTCCCCTAAGCAAGGCAGGAGTGCTGCCCACCCAGAGGCACTGGCTGGAGTTTTGGCTGCTGTGTTTCTCCTGTGTCCCAGGAGCAGGGAGATAAAGCGGAATCATGAATGAACACGTGGATTTTGTTCCAGATGAGTGTGATCTCCCTCCCCCTGCAGAGATGGAGTCTGCAGGGCTTCAACCCTGACTGGGGGTCAGGCTCAGAGCAAGGCTGTGCCAAGGGCTTTCAGCCTCGCTTCCCTGTGCAGGGCATTGTTCCCAGAGCTTTTGGGGGGTGTGTACATCTGCAGGAACCAGGAGCTTAAATCCCTCTGGGGATCCCTTCTGGCTCCCTATCCAAGCTGGGAAACTCTTGCCAGCATGCTGAAGCAAGGCCCTGAGCCCCAAAAGGACACAATGGCTGTCAGGGTGTAGGGGCCAAAAGTACTGGGGATTCAGATGAGAATTGGGCACATTTGCACTCTCCAGCATGACCATCCTTACAAATTATGGGGCAAAGAGCAAGGGTATCATTGAAAGCTTGTCATAAGTAGCCAAGCACCTCTGCCTGACCACAGCAGCCAGCAGTGTTTGTGCCCTCAGCCCTGATGGCAAGGGACAGCGTTCACCAGCAATAGGATGAAAAGAAGAGAAAGCCAAATCTCAAATAAATGCACCCTCTTTGGGCTGTCATTGCGTGGATTTGTTGCAGGGGCTGTGATGGCTGTTCTAAGGCAACCAGACTGCTGAGCTGTGTTTCCTAGGAGTTTGTACACTCCCTGGTGTCTAATAAGGGGTTAAGCTCATATGGCAGATTTTCTTTCACTATGCACTAGTGGGTTGTTATCCTGTGCTCAGGTATCTGTTGCCATGAAACTTTTCATATTTGAGACCTCTAATCCGAGCTCAGTTGAAACTGGCCAAGGGATTTTACAGTCATTTGGCAACACAGACTCACGCACACACATTTATGCACATGCACACAGGCACAAGATCTGCTCCTTGAGGAAGGGGGCTAAACCCAAGGATTTTCTCTGGGAAGATGGTCAACACAGAACTCAATTTGGAGATCCCAGCACATTAAATAAACTAACACTCTTGCAAATGTGAAAGGGTCAAAGCTTGGTATAAAACCCACCCAAATGAAAGGAGAGATGCAAGGCAGCACGTCCAGGCTTGGCACCAGGTTCTTTTTGGCCACAAGCACACAATGCATGAAGCCCACACTCACCTACAAAGTCGTAAATGAGGTCCTTGATGAGATGCCCGACGATGGCGTACGCCACTGCCACCACCACCAGGGCTGCCATGAGGAGGTAGAGGACAGCCTTGGGCAGAGGAATGGCATCTCGAGGAGGGGGTTTGTACTCCTTGTAGAGCTGGTCATTGTCCGAGTATGAGTACTGGAACAAATGGTCCAGGCCAGCTGTGAAGTTGCTGGAGTTCATGGACTGGCTGTTGGACAGGTAGTTGTCCTGTTCAGGGTCCTGGAGGACGCTTACCACCGAGCTGGTGGTGGCTTCCACTTGCCGTACCAAGTTCAGAGTCTTGTTAACGCTGGGGAGGATTTGGGAAAGGAAAGTGCTCCAATCTTTGATGGCACTGATGTTGCAAATAATCATAATTGCAATGAGGAAAGAGGTCTCCAAGCTCAAGAGACTTAAAAGGGAGAGAAAGAGGTGAGAATTGCTGTGCTTACACCAAACCATGTACTGCAAAGCGGGCAGAGAAGGTCTGGATGGGGTACGTTTCTCATTTGCAAATTCTTACATGATCCGGTAGGGACGCATCTGTGGTACCTCGGTCTCACTCCTGAAAATGCCCACAGAAAACCCCTATGGCCATGAAGTTCCTTAGGAAAAAGTAGGTGCTGGAATGATTTTGACTGATATCATTTTTGTTCCTCAGTTGCCTGTCCCTTATGCTACTCACCGATGAAAACCGGAGAGACAGGATCCTGTAGATATTTTCAGTCATCTGGAAAAGAAAGCTAAATTTCCCTTCTTTTTTTTTTCAGAGGCGATGATCCTCGGAGAGACAGAAATCCCCCCTTGGCACTAGCCCAGGCTCGGTCGGGCTCAAGGTGTGCGGTGCCGTCCTGGCTCTCCCGTCAGCGCTGCCCAGAGCGTTCGCAGAGGAGAAAAATGTTCAGACCCCACAAAGTTCAGCTGCTCCGCTGTGTGACGGGGCCGGCGGCGCGCAGCTCCTGGCCATTCCAGCTTGCCTTTCAGCAACTTCTCTCACCGGCATCTCCCGATCGATTCCTTTAAGAACAGAACCAAATCAGAGACAACGAGCACGCCGGCGGAGAGCCCAGCACCCTCTCCCCAGCCCAGTCCAGAAGCGGCCGGTCTCGCGTTTTACCTGAAAGACTTTTCCAAGCGAACAGCTCCTCTCTGCCGATGCTCCAGCTGGTTTCATTCCGGGCTGCGCTCCCCGCGGAGCTCCCCGCACGCAGCCGCCGATCCGCTGCCGCTGCCCGGTGCCGTGTGCGGGTGTGTGTGTGTGGATGTGTGTGTGTGTGTGTGGACACTCCTCCCCGTTCTCTTCCCTTCACCTGCCGCCCTGCCGGCTCTTCCCAGCGAGGAGGATTAGCTGCCGGGAGGTTGGCTCCAAAACTCCTGAGCGTGCTGGGAAGCAGGCGATGCGTGGCGGGCTCAGCCTCCGCCGCTGTTCCCCGCGGAGTTAATCCTTTCCATGACAAAAGATGGGCTTTGATCCGTCTGTTGGATGTTGGGGGAAGGTGGGAGCGCTCGCGTGGGTAGCCCAGGTCCAGCTGAGCGCAGCCTTTGTCTGGGAGCGGTGCCGCCGGCAGGGAGGAATCACATCGCGGGCGCTGCCGGGAGCGGGGAGGACATCATCGATCCCAGCACAGCATCCCGCAGGAGTGATGCTCCCCACAGCCCCGCTCCCACCCGGCAGCCTCCGCCCAGCAAAGTTTGGGCATTGGAGGGATGACTGGTTAGCAGAAAGCGGGGAGGGATTGAGGCTGAGCTCCCTGCGAAGCTGGCTGTGCCAACTGGTAAGAGCCAGCCTGCCCTTGGCCACCTTGATAATGGTCTTAAACTGGTTCATGTTCCCTACAAACACATCTCATCTGCCTTAGTGGTGGGATCTCTGGGATCACGGAGTTGCTGGCTTGGTTTAAAGGCAGTGGGACATATTTAAAGAGGAGGAAAAGGAAATCTTAGAGGCAAAAATTTCTTTTTATATTGGAGGTGAAAGTAAATTACGGCCCCCTTTTTTTCCTTTTTTTTTATTTTTTTTTTTCCCTGCCTCCCAATCTCCCAACGTAAGAAACAGCTGTCACAGGGGCAAGAAAATCACCACAATAAGCCTGAAAGCAGCCAAATGGAGCTTCCGAGAAATAATAGCAAAAGATTAACTTTGTGTGTGTGTATCTGTGTCTGTGTATGTGTGTGTGTGTGTGTGTGTGTGTGTGTGTGCTACCAGCCAGCAGCAATCCTGCCAGCTGCCTGGGGGTTGGAAGAGTATAGAATAAAATGGCAACATCTCCTGTACCAGGAGATATCACCAGGGTTTGGCTCGATGATGGACAGATTGATTTGACAGCCCAGAAGCAAAGAAAATGTGGAGGAAAAAGCTCTTCTGTCCTCCCTGGAATGTGCATGGACCATGTCACAGTCACTTCTGGTGCCCAGGACCATTAAACAGCATCCTAAAATTTCTTCTCACAAGTGACAGAGCTGTGACTGGTTAGAGAAGAATATCTGTGCAGCTGCATGGATACATATCCTGCAATGGGATAGGTCCTGATGTCCCCTGCCCCAGCATCTTGATGTCCAGGGCTGGAGCTGCTGCTCTGCCTCCAGAGCATGAAGAGATGCTTTGAGGGCCAGGACAGGAGTCAGGAGCTAAGGGCAAATGGCTCCTCTGTCAGATTCTCGGTCCTCCCACACCAGATTTTATCCTTCCAAGATGGAAAATAGGGCAGTATTATTTTTTATAGGAACTTTTCAATGTGAAGTGAGTTTTGGGCTCTGCGCTGGGGTGGCACAGTGCAGTCTGGCTTTGCTCTGCTCAGAGGCACATCCTTTGCCTGGGGTTCTTAGGAGGAAAGAACAACCCCCAGGACATGGCCAGTGGTCACTGGGCGCCAAAGCTGCTCCAAAGCTGTCCTTTCCCCACAGCTGTTTGGTGTTAGCAGTTGCCATGGCACCAGCGCATCAACCAGAGGGAACAGGAGCGCATCTGGTCCAGGCTGACCCAGCCCTGTGCCTGGCTTTGGCTGTGACTGTCCCAGGCAGGCTCCCACGGTGTTGTACCCCTCCATTCCAGGAGGGGATGGAGCTGAGTGATTAGAGGCAAAGGGTTTGCAAAGGTGTGTGTACCTGGGGAGATTAGTTAGAGCTGAAGGCAACAGGGGCAGCTCTCTGTGTGCCTGGGGACAGCTGGTGACAACAGCCCAGACCTTGCTCCAGTGGGACACAGGGCAAACCCCCTCAGTTTCCTAGGCCTCCATTGAGTACTTGTGGGAAGAGGCTGGAAGAGCACTTGGGGAAGCTCTGAGTTCTGCTGCAGACACTGACTCCATTAAAAGGGCTTAGGGCAATACCAAAAAAATACTCCCCCAACATCTGTATTTCCCTGCAGCGGAAATAAAGTTGGCTCTTTCCATTTTCATTAACACCCTTATCAATGCAAAGTGACTAAATAGATGCTTAACTGTTCATTACACACTCTCTGCATCTCCGGCCTGAAAGGGAGCCTTTATTTCCACAGTTATGGTTTCCAACCCATTACAGAGGGAGAGAGCATGGAGAGATACACAAGTGTGGATTTTAATAACCTAATATTTCAATCTCTCTATTATTAAAAAAAAATGTTTGCATTTACTGTGATGGGGGGAAGATTAAAAGGATTGCCATGGATTCCACTTAGGGAACATTGCTAATGATTTCAATAAATCACTTTAAATAAAAATCACAATCTCCACAATTCCACCCAAATGCCATTTGGCAGAAGGGTTGATTATGGGAACAAAATGAATTTTGGAATTAGCTGCTTGTCCTAATGCAATTGGACAAATTAAATTTAGGGATACACACATATCCAATGACACATATATCTCATGCAGAAGAGCGGTGTTTTGGCCCTTGAGGAAAAAAACCAAATAATGTTTTAGTGGGTTAAGACATATCTTGTCCCTTATGATGGATGTCAAGTGTTTGTTACAGCCATTTCCTTAGTATTTTTAATTTATGGCTTACCCTCTGTGAAGCTACAGTCAAAGCACTGGTTTTATTTCCACCAAGGTAGGATCCAACTGACTACTGGGACACGACTTTGATAATGGCTGTGTCCGTGCAGAGCTGAACAACCACTCTGACACATCACCAGCAATGCCCAGAGCAGCCAGTCTGGATTCCTGTCTGTGACTGGGACCAGATCCCAAGATCTCTACAGAAGGTGAAGCCCAGATCTACACCAGATCTGGAGATCTGATGCTGCTCCCAGCTCCACTGCTGGCTGCTTGTCCTCTGTTGTGACATGTGAGGGACCAGGAGACCACAGGCTGTGGATGTGGCAACACCTGTCAGGTGCAAACAGAGCTGCAGGGATGGAGAGCAGAGCTGGAGCTCATTGCTGTGCACTGTGCTGTGGCTTGGGAAGGCTTTGTGTCTCTCCCTGCCTCAGAGCTATGCAGAAGTTGGCCAAAAATGTAGTCAGGAGGTGCAGCTCCAGCAGCAATACCTCCACCTATACTTCAGAGTGAGACATTTGCCTGCCCAAGGGTCATTTTTACAGCCTGAAGGATTTTTGGTGTCTCTTTTCTGTTCTGGCTGCCCACTCCAAACCCTGATCCCCACCAGAGAAACCTCTGCACCTGGTCAGAAGAACAGGCACAACGATTGACACCCTCATATGGCACAAGGTAAAACACTCATCACAGGGCTCCTTCAAACCACCCAAATTTCAGCTGTGCAGGGGGACATTCCTCTCCAGATTCTGGCTTGTGGGGGCTGCACAGCTCCTGCTCCAGTCCCTGCAGCCTTCCCCTGGAGGAGGCAAGCTGACCTTCACTCATCCCTGGATGGGCCAGATGCTCTTCCCTGCCTCCCTGCCTGGCTGTGCTCGGCTGCTGCACTCACCCCGGAGCAGCGACTTCGTTTCTAAGCAAATTCCAGACCTGCACCAAAGTTTTGACAGCAACCTTCCAGCATGACAAGAAGTTGTGAAATTTAGGCTTATCCTGTATTCCCATTCCTGGCATTCATCTTGCCCAGCGATTTCTGCTTGAACAAAACAAACAAACAAGGAGCAGCAGCAATTTTTAGCAGATGAATCAGAGCAAGCTATCTTTATCTATCTATATATAAAAGCACCTCTTAAAAAACTTCTTTTTTGATGCTGTATTATTCATGTAACCAAAGCTGAAGAAGTCCAGATTACAATAATAATAGACATAATAAATATGCCATATTAAATGCAGTGCCTAGGAAGATTGTTGCCTGTCTGCTGTTTCTGGTAAGCAAAGTAGGGTTTTAACTCTGCGTGTGGCACCATCTCATGGACAGCTTGGCTTATTCAAAGGACTTGAGAGGCTAAAGGCAAGCACAAAATTATCCAGCATGAAAAGCTTGCTTCATAAAAGAAAGGGGAACATCTCCCAAATAAACAAACCCAGGGCAACAGGAGTAGTTGCAGTGGAGGTGAGGTAGGAGTAATGAATTACATGTTTTGTTTGCATCTCTAGAAAGTGCTGCTTGGCCAGAAAATAGGTAAAAATAGCTGAAAAGCACTTGTAGAGGTTATCTGGGTAAGTCTGACAAAAGCAGAACAGGAAGGCCTCATCCCAACAGGTCGGAAAGTACTGTTTTTCCACGTCTCTTTCCACTCACAGCTTTGTTGTCCTAAAATCCAGTGAGAAGGTGTGCCAGGCTGTGTGCATCTGACACCTCCCAAAGCCTCTCAAAGGGATCTGGAGGGAAAAGCTGGCAGTATCTGCATTTTCTATCTTCTCTGCCACCTAAGCTGGATATATAGATCCAAAAAACCCTAAAACTCTCACCTGATGTTTCCTTCATAAAAAATGGAGAAAAAACTGTATGGATGGAAACCTGTTGGAGTTTTCAGAGAGCTTGAAAGGGCAGGACTGAGGTGTCTGTCCACCTGCTGATATCTGGGCTTCAGGAGGAAACTTTAAGCATCAACAATGGTAGAGGAAAAGAAGAAATGAAGGAATTGAGCAAGGCAAATGGGAAAACTTACCTCCTTCCCTGAAATATCACCCTCATTGCAGGCAGAGGTACAGGAGCAGAGACCTCCCCAGATGCCAGTCCTCATTCCCTACAGACACACCCCAGAGGGGCTCTGCTCTCTGTCCCTCACCAAGTCCTTGCTCCAGCATTTTCTCCTCCCAGAGCAGGACCTGTTTCTAAGGAGTGACGTGTAAAGTTATGCTGGTTTTTCAGGTGTGGAGAGAGAGCTGGGTAGGGTTGGGAAGCGCTGCTGGGTTGCCAGGCAGGTTACAAATGCACTCTGTGACTCCTGATTAATCTGCCACCTCACACGAGAGGTGATGCAGTGCTCTCTTCTGCATTGCAGATTGTGCTCCCGCCGTGCCCTTTCCCCACCACCTTTCAGAACCTCACCTGCTATTTCCCAGGCTCTTTCAGCGTCTCACAGTGCATTCATTGCATGCCTGAGCCCTGTGTTGCTGCCTGCCCAGGTTGTAACTGTGTCTGCAGACTGATCCCAGCCTCACAGGTAGGAAAACAGCCCCTGAGGCCACGTCCTGGCCATCCCTGCCACAACAGGCACACTCACATTAAAGGAACTGATGGCAGAGGGGGACTGGAACATTTGCCTGTGTCCTGAATGGGAGAGGGTAACATTCCTTTTCCTGTGCCCCAAAGCCACGTGTGCAGATGGTGGATCCGGGATGGGAACATCAACCCACTGTGGGTGCTGGAATAGAGAACAGAAGTGGGCACAGCCCTCCTGGATGGAAGGCTGACAATGGCTGAGAGCATCCCTTTTCCCTGTTCAGGTCTGACAAGGTCAGCCAGCTCCTGGTGAACTGTAGGAGCCCTGAACTGAGTGACAGGAGCATGAAACAGCTCCAGTCTGGACTGAGCTCTGCTGCATCCCAGCAGGGGCATTGCCTCGAGCATCCCGTGGTGCTCCAGCTCTAGCAGCAAGCTTCTCTTGTCAGCAGCAGGCTGC